TATGGTGTATTATCTTATATATTGTATATTGTATATTATATATTATAAAGTATATAGTATATAGTATATAGTATGTTTTATACATTATACATTATATATTATATATTATATATAATAAATATAAAAAATAAATAAATATAATATAATATAATATAATATAATATAATATAATATAATATAATATAATATTATATTATATAATATAATATAATATAATATAATTTTTATAATATTATAATAAATATAAAATATAATAAATTTAAATATAAATTATAATAAATATAAAATAAACATAATACACGTATCTACATATATATATACCACATATAAAATATATTTATACCAATAATAAAATTGCTGTCGTTTATCTTCCTTCAACACCCCTCCTGATTAACTCCTTAAATTCTGTAATTCTTTTTATTTTTTTTCACCTTTTCAGAGAATTCAAGCTGTTTAAATACTGATGGGCACATAAGAATTGTGTGACCACCACTAGACATTTTAGGTAAATTAAAACTTTATTATTTTAATTTACCTAAATTAAGACAATAATTTAATCCTCAACAAAGAAAAATCCAAGTGATTTCAATCCAAAATGATTCCCTTGTGCTGGGAAAGGCACCCAGCCCTGAGGCACCCCATGAGGAGCCAGACATTAATTGATCACCCATTAATTAAGGTGTTTGCAGAACACCTTTATATTTTGTGTTCCATCCAGATGACATGAGGGATTTTCACAGAAATTTGGGACGTCCCTGTAAGAAATAAAACTTCTCTGACTTCTTAAGGGAAGGTCGAGAGCCTCCCATTCTTGAGTGATAAATGTGTGTGCTTTAGATAAAGTAACTGGAAACTATTGATTAAGGCACAGTTACCTTTTAACAGGCAAGCAGAATTTCACAGGAGATTGGCCTTTGTCTGGATCGATAAAGTCATTGCTGCTGTTCCCAACTATAACTGCTGAAACCAAACAATATCCATGGCTCAGGTTCCAGAGCCAGGTGGTTTATTAAATTCACAAAATGACTTATTTTTTGCAGATATTTTGCCAGAATCAGGGTAATACAGGGCCTGGAAACTTCTCGTTGGCCAGGCAAATAAAAAGGGTAAAACAAAAGTTAAAACAAATCAACAAAAAGTTTTTTAAAAAAGAGTAAAAATAGAGAACAAAAAGATGATCTTTGCACCAATGAAAGCACCTTGTAAGACTAAAAGGGAGTGGATGAATAAATATGGGGAGAACAAGGAAATAATAAAAAATATTCAATCCAAAGGCATGGCTCATAAAGCTTTGTCAGGAGGTTTGCATACATCGTGGGAAAGGAGAACTTTGAGGAAGAACCCGACAGAAAACAATGAAACGGGGCTGTAAATATCTTTAGGCCACTCTGAGCCTGAGGAAGGGCTGAGAGCAAACCCAAAAACCCAGGGGAAATAAAAAAAAACCACAAACACATCGGGGATGAGCGGCAGCAGCACAGAAACGCCGAGCACAGCTGTGTGACAGAACACGGAGAAACACAAGGAATTCCCTGTTTGCCAAAATCCCCAACCTGCAGAATGTGCCTGCACTCATTACTGGCCGTGAATTTCCACTTGCAGAAGGTCCCTGCAGTGTGGTGGGTGCTGAGAGCCTCCACCCTCGGGATTTACACCCCAAATGTCAGCGAGCTGGCCAGTCCAGGCTGTGGGAGCGAGGAGATGGATGTCCAGCACCCAAACAGGGTGTTTGAGCTAATGACACTGGAGGAAGCCTGATTGTAGCAGCACAGAACTCTGCAGGGCCCACTTACATGGGGAAAAATCAGTTTAATGTGCACACAGCGCTTCAGAGTGCTGCTGTCTCCTTTGCAGCACTCACAACTTGTTTGGCACAGGAAGGGCTTTCCTTTGGGTCAGTTACTTGTCTGAAATGAGTGGCACAGAGACATTTTGAGTAACACCAGTTAGCTGATATTGGAAAAGCCTTGTCCTGCATTCCTCAGACACTGCATTTCTCCTGGATTCTGAATTATTGGGCAGTTGGCTCCCAGGAGGGAGTGCTGCTAGCCAAATTTGCAATGGTTTCTTCCCTTTAAGTGGCATTTCATCCCCATTTCACCACACTGGACCCATGTTCAATGAGCTCTGTGAGGTATTCCTAAACTCAGAAACCTCAGTTTTTAAATTGTGGTTTAAACCACAGGGATCTTATCAAGGAATGGCCAACAGGACAGGTCCCCATCCCCTGGGACTGTCAGCTTTTAAATGTTCCCATCCAAACACATCTCCTTGAGTGGGCACAGGGTCCTGCAGGCCTTGGGGTTCAGATCCTTCTCTTTTTGTCCTGTTGATTCTCCTGTCAGCACAAAGGAACAGGGACAGCAAACTCTTTCAGGAATATGAGCAGACACTGAAGGATTTGAGCCCTTTAGCTACAGAACACCTGCAGTGCTTCTGCACAAGACTGCCAGAAGGCAGCAATTAAAAAATGCAAAACAGCAGGGCGAGCTGATGAAAAAAACCTCCCAAATTTGAAGCAAAATAAACAGCTGACCCCAACAACCATCTGACCCCGACTCTTCAAGGCCTTTCAGCTCCCAGACTTCAGCTCCACTGCCTCAGGGCTCTTCAGATTCTGTTTTCTTACCATCTCAAAGCATCCCAAACCCTTCAAAAATCCTAAAAGGTTTTTTCATGAGTAATCTGTAAAAATTCTAAATAATAAAATAAGCCAAACTTATCCAAGAATAAATTATCCCGGAGCTGTGGGTTGGATTTTAGCACCAGTAAAATTCCTGAAACACCAAGACAATTCTGCTGATGGTGGTCAGCCAAGCAGTTCAAACTCTCCAAATGGGATGGAGCTGGAAAACACCTCTGGAACTCCCTGATTTACCATGGAACACATGGATCAGATATCCAGCAATCCCCAGGCTTCCCCTGGGAGCACAGAGCCACAATTCCCTTCCTCTGCACCTTCCTGCCCAGCTCCCCAAACACCTTCCCGAAATCTGCTGAGTGTCAGGGAGGTTCTTTGCTCCAGGTGCTTTGGAGCAGAGCATTCCATCTCTGCCTCATCCTGAGGAAGCCCCGAGTGCTCTGCTGATCCAAGCAGGACAGAAAAGCCCCGGCAGCTCCTGGAGCAGAGGAATTCATTAATCCCTGGCTGTGGATTGATGTCCCTTGTCAGCTCCCACAGAACATTTCTCTCCGTGGGGATCAGTCTTTTGTACCTTACCAGCCTTGCCTTTAAGGGGGCACCGGTGTGGTCACTTTTCTCTGTCTCACTGAGTTTTTTAATTAAACTTTCAGGCATCTAATTCCTCTGAGAACCTGCGCCTCCAAGCCAGCTTGACTGCTATTTATTTTAAACCTTTAAAATGATTCCAAAAGGTTGGGGTCTCCTTGGGCAGATGTAACAGGCCTGCCTTCACTTCTCTGGGAAGCCAAGCTCTTCGAAAATGCAATTTTTAAATACCTGATACTCTATAAAGTGAATGGGATTGAGTTTATTCCTTTCCTTTGAAGGATAATGTAAAACATTTCTTCAAGTTGATGTGAGTGTCATTTAGTGTAATTTGATAACCTGCAGAAGGGCCTGTTTGCCTTAGAGCTTTTTCTCATTTCTAGCTATATGAGCTGGTCTATTTTATGATTTTATTTCTCCCTTCAGAACTTGCTTCTTGGTTAATTAGAGACCCTGGTGCACCCTCATTAAACCTCTCAGGAGTGTTTCTCCCTGAGGAAATCCTGAGGCCACAGAACTAAATTCTGCTTTATAACAGACACCAGATTAGATTAAGAGAATTCACCCTACACCAGACACATGCAAACGTTTATAAATGTATTGATATGAAATATCACCTTTTTAAACATTGAATTGTTTGGCTTGGAAAACCAACATTAATGGCTTTTAAAGATCTTTTTTAGGGCCAGAAGATGGTATTTCCTATTGAGCCCAAATCATCAGAGCAGGCAATGAGAAATGCAGACACTTGCTCTGCTTTTAGCAAGAGTCTCAGCATGACTCAGGATTTAGCCCCTGGTAATTAATTAGTCTCAGTATTAATAACAGCTTCTACTGAGAGACTTCCCTTTGTTTACTTTTTCAGCAAATCCACCTGATGATTTTTTTGGTGTTTGAATAACCCATGCATGAGACAACAGGGTATGTCTGGGTGATTTTATTGCTGCTTCACCCTTTTATACCTTGACATTCCTGTCTGTTTATTAGTAAGAATGAAATGTAGGCTTCCTACTTCCCACATACTTCCTGAAATAAAAAATAAAAAATAACCTGGGAACACAAGAGGACCCCTGCCACAACTTTTCCAGAGCCCAGGATTGGGAAGTCACGACAAAACCAATGGGGTTCAGCTCTTCCCTGACTGATCTCCACCTCCTGTAAGGTTCCTGCAGCATGTGGATGTCTGGGACACTGGGATGTCACTTGGAGACATCCCTGGAGCCAGGCTCTGCCTGAGGCTCATCCTGCTCCTCACAACCTCTCTGCAGGAATTTTCTGCAATTCAGGAACAGCCAAATTCTCTTGTACAGAACTAAGAGTTGAAGCTCTCGCCCCACTCTGTGTTCAAGCAGAAACACATCCATGTGGCATCTATTACAAAACAGCATTTGGTCGCTGCTGACCAAATGACTTGGCTGGTTTACATCATGAAAAAAATTGATTTGAACCTTCATTTGATTTTAAGCCACTTAAACACCGCTCACCTATTTTATTTCCATGTGCTCAACTGCCCCTTTCTCATCATTCAACTTAAATAACCCCAAGTAAATAAAAAAATAAAAATAATAATAAAATGCTACAGAGTCCTATCTCAGGTATGAGACATCCTAGCAGGTATATCAAGTATCTGCAGGTATAACAGTAGAATTTAACATGGTCACAGTTCTTTATAAATATTTATGTATAGAAGTTCTTCACGATTCAGTATTTCCAGATTTCATCTGTCCAACAAAATCTGTTAAGAGTCACCAGAAATGGATGACAGAAATCCTTAAAAGGCAGTGAGTTCCTTCAGGGTGGTGAAAGTCTCCTTTGACTTGCTGTACTGCCTGGCAAACGTGGCCACTCTCTGGAGAGCTTCTGGCAGCCCTTCTGCCGTGATGGCACAGCAGGGCTGCACGTACCAGTTCCTGTCACTGCAGTACTTCTTCATCTTGAACCTCCTGGTGATCTCCTCGGCGTTCAGAGCTCCAGGCAAATCCTGCTTGTTCGCCAACACGACCACAGGGATGTTTTTTATGGATTCATTCTTTAAAATGAGCTCAAATTCCCGCCTGGATTCCTCCAGCCGGCGCTTGTCAGAGCTGTCCACCACGTAGAGCAGCCCGTCGGTGTCTTCCAGGAAATTGTTCCAGAGCTCTCTCATTTTCTTCTGTCCTCCAACATCCCAAACTGTCAGTGTAAAATCTTTCCCTGCTTCAATCATATCCACATTAAAGCCAATCGTTGGCATTGTTAGAAAATCATCTTTATACCTGAACTTGCAGAGCAGCGTGGATTTCCCCGCAGAATCCAGCCCTAGCATCAGGATGTTGGCCCGCTTCACTGAGGAGGCTTTGGCGTTCTGGAGGCCCATTTATCCCGGGCAGTTCTCTATTCCAGGGATATTCCCCCTCTTCCCTGGGGCCAATTTGTGTGGCTGCCTTTCCCCCTGCTGAGGCGAGGCACAGCCAGCGAGGGAGAAGAGGCAGCTGCGAATCTGGAGCAGGCAGAGCTCGGTACAAACGCACGCTGCTTTTATCGCCGTGATAAGGAGCCAGGAGGCTTCCCGAGGTGCAGAGAGCTCCGTGCCAAGCCTGTGGGTGGGACTGGGATGAGTAACTTTGGCACAAAGGTTACAGGCTGCCAGCATGTTTGAACAGCCACGTTCCCAGCACCTGCAGCCCGATCCGTGGATTCTCCCGATCTGTCTCCGAGAGAATCCGCCTGGGCATCCGCAGCCATCCGGGAGGAAAATGAGATATGAACACGAGCAGTGAGGAGGGGAGATGTAAGATTTGAGGTTTGTCCATACTCAGCAAGCCAAAAAATGACCAGGCAGCTGATTTATGGGTGCATCTCATCTCCCACAGGCTGATCTGTGAGTTCCAGCCCATGGGCTCAATCAAGCCCTAAGAGAACTCCACTAAAACTGGGCTCTGCTCTAAGCAGCTGCCTCAGTGACTCCTTCTGCCAGGGCTGTAAACTCAGGGAGTTTATGTAGTTTGTGAATGAGTTTAACTGCACCCTGAAAGGTGGAGACTAAATACAGACCTTATTACAGTCTGGTCATTGCTGAAAAGCGTTGCCTCAAATTAAAAATTAAATTAGTTATCTTCATTGTGCTCTACTCTGTGACTGCCCAATGCAGATTTCCTTCAGGAAAGGGTCAAGAAGCGAGGAAATAACCGAGTCTTGATCATTTTTTTTGGCCACCATTCCAAGTAGTAGAATAAAACCAGAGGAGATAGAAAATTTAGTCAGCTATTAATGAATTCCTATTGACTGTTCAATTTTCTGACAGTGGATGCACGCTGGGCTGCTCTGACACAGCCCAAGCGCTGCAGGAGTTGCCTTTACACCCAGGAAACCATTTCTCTTTGCTTCAGAAAGTCCAGAATCAGCAAAAAGATGTAAAGGTCTTGTGGTCAAACAAGCTGCTGACTGATAGAGTAATCATTTCGATAATTACGACATTGGTTGCGTAAAATCCACCTCAGCCCCGACAGACAAGTTATAATCTGGTTTCTCATGAGGCTAAAAGGGTTAGACCGGGACTAACTGGGGGCAACGAGAGATGACAGTGATGCACTCACTGCTGTGCATTTCTCATGGTTAATAACACAGATTATCTGTGGGGTTTTCAGGAGCAGGTCAGGATGTATGAAACCAGGGAATAAAGTGTTTGCATTGCTTTGGAAATAAACTGACATGAATGAATTGAAAGATGGGGAGGCAGCAAACTGCAAAACACAGGGTTAACAAGTCAAATGGGTCAGAATTCCCTGATGCAATTCCGATAAAATATGGATATCTTGAGCAAGTCAGGGATGATGGATGGTCTGTCCCAAGTTGTGATTTGAAGATCTCTCATAGTCCTCTGTGCTCTGTACTGGGTGTTTATGATTACAACTGGTGTTTCCTCCATCAGCTGTCACTTCAGGCGTCGAGCAGAGCCTGCCTTTTTCCGAGGTAATTCATGTGCAGCTTTCTGACTCTGCCAGAGTCCAGAGCCAGGCCTTGTGATGCAGAGCTGCTCCCAGGAAGGATTTTTTTCCCTGAGATCAAACCTCAGGACAGAGCCCGCTGCAGCCTCCGGCAGCTGGGAGCTGGAGCGGACCCAACCTGCTCCCCCAGAGCCGGGTTTGCTCTAAGGGCTGCGACCGGCTCTGCTGAATTTTCATTTCACCGGCTGTGCTGAATTTTCCTTTCATTTCACCTGCAGAACCGCAGTCACAAACCGGGGACAGCCGATTTAGCACCGACCAACCTGAGCTCCAGCTCCGCACAGTAACCCGAGCAGCTCCACATGAACCCTGCACATCCATCCCCAGCTCATCCAGGCGGGCTTGACTAAGCGGCGAGCTGTGATGATGTACTAATTAGGCAGGGAATCCTCAGAGGGGGCGCTTCCAGGGGCCGGGGCCGGGGCTGGGCTGCCCGTGCCCGGCTTTACCCGGGGAGCCGGCGGGGACAGGGCTGGAGGTGCCCGGGCCGTGCCCGGCTTTACCCGGGGAGCCGGCGGGGACAGGGCTGGAGGTGCCCGGGCCGTGCCCGGCTTTACCCGCGGAGCCGGCGGGGACAGGGCTGGAGGGGCCCGGGCCGTGCCCGGCTTTACCCGCGGAGCCGGCGGGGCCGGGGCGGGCGCAGCAGCGGGGGCCGCTCGGTGAGGCGGAAGAGGCGGCGGCTCCTTCCCGCTGCGGCCGGGGACACGGTAATGGGCTGGGAATGGGCTGGGAATGGGATGAGGATGGGCTGGGGATGGGATGAGGATGAGGATGAGGATGAGGATGCGGAGCGGGGCTCCACGCCCCGCACTGGAGGCCGGTCGGTCACTGCCGCCGGGGGAAGCGCACACGGGGAGCCGCGGGCGCTGCTCCGCTGCCGGCTGCGAACACAAAGCCGAGGAGAGGCTGGCACCGGGAGCCGGGGGTGGGCAGAGGACAGAGGAAGGGATGTGCTATCCCCTCGCAGCCATCCCTTCCTGCTCCGCCGGGACCTCCCGGCTCAGCCCCGCAATGGGAAAGGGAGCCCGGCACGGAAAACGGGGATGGTGGGGCAGGCACCGCTGAGAACAAGCCGCCTGTAAATAAAAAGTTTAAAGTTTTATCAGGTTAGAGCATCGCAGCCCGGGATCTTGAAAAATTGCCTCTAGTTTCGATTGGTTTTAGGTTTAAAAACGTGGAATCAGTGGCTGTTTTGGGCTGGGAGGACCTTAAATATGATCTCGTTGTGCAGGAACAGCTCCCACAGACCAGGCTGCGCCAGGCCCCGTCCAAGACAGCTCTAATATATTTCCAAATTATTTCTGCTGGTAGCTTTAAAAAAGATTTTTTTTCCCCCCTATACGCTTATTATTATGGTATTTTAAAATGATTATATGGGAATATTGGGTATTATAATTTGTAATCTTTAATATGAGAACTCCCCACCTTTTCCCTGTCCACACTCCACAATGGATCTTGAACCCGTGAGGAGCATTCTGAGCCTTGGGTTGGCTCACATTTATTTCAAAGTTCACTAGTTTTATCTGTCGGCACAGTCTTGCAGGAGAATGAAAGTAATGCCCTGGAAGGAGCTGCCACCCACAGCTGGAAGGGAAAAACTGCCAGGGAAAAGTCGGGAAGAGGAGGCAGAGCTGGAAGAGCTGTACCTGCACCACGACTGAGCAGAAGTTCTTGGACTTCCTCACTTTGCTCCAAGCCCTTGAAATAGGAGAAGGTTGGAAATTATTTCCCTGTGTGGTTGGGGTTTCCTGAAGGACCTGAATTGATGTTTATTTTCCCAGATTTTCCCTTATGTAGCAGGTCAGGATTTGTCTCCAGTTTTATTTTTCACAGTGTCATGAAATCAGGCTTTTCTTCCTGTAAAGAATCAAAACATTTATAATGCTTTTTCCATTAGGCAGCCAAGAACTGATCAAACTGATCAGTTTTCACTGCTATGCTTTTAAAGTTGATCATCAAAATAAATGTTATTGATCTAAAATCAAATAATAAGCACTGATACATTACTTAGGTTATTTTCTCCCAGTATGTATTTTCCTACTGTCCACTGAAAGTCAGGCTGATGCATAAAAAAAAGATTCCTTTTAGACAATTACTGATTTTGAAAGGAATCAGTTTAAAATTATTCTATTTAAATGCTTTATGTAAAATTGCTTTAATCCATTTTAAGGCCATTGTTGGTGAAATGTTTTCCAAATGCTTCCTTTAAAGGATGATTAATTTAAAATCCACAGAAACATGAGGCAGGTGGGCTTTGGAAAATCAAATTTCCCTGGATCCCAGAGTGCTGTTCTGGGCGTTGAATTTATTTGTCAAATATAAAACATTTATGAGCCCTGTGGTGATATTTTTGAAGATAAAGAGTAATTAATTGTGCTGTGAAATCAAACCTTCCATCATCCTGATGTGTGTACTCGTGCAGGATAAATATTATTACTGCAAACATCAGAAACCATTTGGAATCCCCACAGTTAGGCACTGGAATTATTTTGGCTTAAAGATGTCTAAAAAGATATGATAGAGAACGTGTAATTTTAAGGAAATACAGTGAAAACAAACATTGGAGGGTTCAGGCCTGGGGGTCTGGTTTTAAACTGAAGATTTATCCCTTGGAATCTCTAATCCTGACACTGGAATGGATTCCATAGGGGTTTGGAAGGACCTGCTGTGGATTTGTGTGCCTCAAATCCAAAATTTACCTGGCTAATGATAAAAACAGTCTTGATTTTGGTCATAAACAGCTTTAGTACATCGCTTGATTTAAGGAAGTTGATTTTTACCTTTCCCCCTCCCCCTCAGAACAAGGCTCAAGCCTTGAAAGAAGAAATATTTCCTTGTGCTTTTGCTTTCTTGTGCCATGTGCCCCAGCTCGTGCAGATCAGTCAGACTTCCTGTCTTCAGCAGAAACAGCAAAATCCTGAGGCCTCTGAGCACCCGTTTCCTGCGCATTTGTTGGATTTTGTGCACGGTGTTCTGTCCTCGAGCTGGAGCAGCCTCAGAGTCGTGGTGCTGACATCCCTGGGATCACAGCCTTGGCTCCTGGGTGGGGATTAGCTCTGTGCAGGGAGGATTTTGGGTGAAAGCCACGAGCTTTCGGTGCAAACCCGCTCAGCAAACCGTGCCGGGCAGCGGCTCCGTGTCCTGCTGCCATCCGTGGGGTGAGGGATGTGACAGCTGGATCAGGAATGCTTGGGTGGGCTGGTATTACAGCACAGTTCCAACACACGGAGAAGGAAATATTTGACTAACAGCACTCTGAATGCCACTTTTCCTTTCTTTTTCAGCCAGGAAGATGCTCCAGCACTTGTGGAACAGATTCTGAGGGGCACCAGCAGATCCGACCATGGCACCGGTTCCGGTCAGTGCCTTGTACATGAGACCCTTGAAATGGATTTTCCTGTTGCTGCTGGTGTTTTCCCTGATAACCATGTGGTACATCACCTCCTCCTCCAACGCTGGCCTGGAGAGCATCAACCTCCTCTACTTCTACGAGTACGAGCCCGTGTACCGGCAGCAGCGCCCGTTCTCGCTGCGCGAGCGCCCCAAGTGCGCCGACGTCGACCCCTTCCTGGTCATCCTGGTGGCTTCCAGCCCCAGGGACGTGAAAGCCAGGCAGGCCATCAGGATCACGTGGGGCTCCCGGGATTCCTGGTGGGGCCAGCGCGTCCTGACCCTGTTCCTGCTGGGGCGGGACACGCAGAGGGAGGACGGGGCGGCGGCGCTGTCGGTGGAGGACGAGAGCATCCTCTACGGGGACATCATCCGCCAGGATTTCACGGACACTTACGACAACCTCACCCTGAAGACCATCATGGCATTCCAGTGGTTCTCCGAGTTCTGCTCCAACGCCAGGTTCTTCATGAAGACCGACACCGATGTCTTTATCAACACTCCCAACCTGGTGAAGCTCCTGCTGCAGCTGAATTCCTCGGAGAACGTCTTCACCGGGTATCCCCTCATCAACAACTTCGTCTACAGAGGCCTGGACAGAAGGAGGTACATCTCCTATCAGGAATATCCCTTCAGGCTGTATCCTCCCTACTGCAGCGGGCTGGGATACATACTGGATGGAAAACTGGCTCTGAGGACCTACGAGCTGATGGGCCACGTCAAACCTCTGAAATTTGAGGATGTTTATGTGGGAATTTGCTTAAATATACTCAAAGTCAACGTCACTGTTCCAGAGGATGCAGAACAGTTCTTTCTCTATAAAATCAGCTTTGATATCTGTAAGTACAGACATTTGATTGCAGTTCATGGCCTTACATCAAATGAACTGGTCCAGTTTTGGCAGGATTTGTCATCTGACACTTCAAAAACTTGCCTTTGATTGTGGATTTATTTAGAAACTTCTGTTTGGTGCGAGAGTGGCCTCTAGAGACGACTCTGACTGCTGGGGCAGCGTTTCTTGAGGGCATTCCAATGCTCTTCAGTAAAAACAGGGATTCACAGAGCACTTTTCCATGTGTGTGTCCCACACCCAGAGGTTCCTTGGAACCCCCTGCCTCTGCTGCCTTTCCATGTGCTCGGAGCAACCCTGGGATTTCCCCCTGAACCTTCTGGAATGTACAAAATGCCACCGAGGGAAGGTGTTTATGCCAAGAAAGCATCTTTGATTTGAAATTCCTGCCTGGATTGTTTTTATTGTTTTATTGCCACTCTCCATTATTTGTTCTCTGCCCAGCACGAAATTTAACCCAACCCAAGCTTTTTTTTTTGCCTGTGTAATCCTCCTGAGAGTGTCACAACTTGGTATTTAAATGTGTCACCTCCACAAGGCTTCCAGGAGTGTTCCCAGCCTGGGGATCCTGTGGGATTTGCAGGAGCTGATGAGAAATGCTGGAAATGTGGTGCAATTTGTGTCTCCACGTTCACTGGAATGGCTTTGGTGTCTCTGCTGATGTTCCCAGATCAGGCAGATGGAGCTCACGAGCAATTTGGACATCCCAAAAACATTTGGATCATCAATCCCCCCACCCCTCTGTGTGTGTGTGTGTGATGCATCCCAGGAGTTCTGGAACCCTGTGGGGAAGATGAAGAATCATTTCTGTTGTGATTTATGTCTGTTTCTAAATGAGTATTTTTGTTCCAATTTTAAAATTAACAAAGGCAGGAATTCCCCCACCTCTGAAGAAGACTAGCTCCACCCTGTGTGTAAAGACCGGTTTTTAATCACTTTATTCATATCAGCAAGGCCCAGTTTTCAGTAGTTTACACTTCTAATGGACAACGATACAGAATTTGCAATTGCATGAACATAATTAACCTGGACACATCCACTACACGGGGGAGGGACTGCGGAGACGTCCTGGACGCGCTCCCGTTGGGCTGGCACAACCCCAGGGCCCCGTTGTGGCTTGGGGACAGAGCCCAGGGGCTGGGACAGAGCCCAGGGGCTGGGACAGCCTCCAGGAGCTCGGCTGAGGCTCCCCTGTGCCCCCAGCACGCCGGGCTCCGCGGGCAGCGCCGGCTTTTGCTCCGCTCCACACCTGGCCTGGGCGTGCGATTTGAGGATGGGCTTGTGTTCTTTAGGGATCAAAAGGTCTTGGGGACAACACTCTCCAGACAAGGGTTTCAAATGTTGGTGTTCTGATGGGGAGGAGATTTTAAAAAATGAAGGCTTTTTGTTTTTTTTAGGGGTGGGGGAAATACGGTATTGCATAATTGAGGGAATCGATGCTCCTGTATTCCTAGATTGGGGTGAAATTCCAGCTGTGCCGTGGGTTTAGGAGCTGGGATTTGTTCGTTCTCTGAGCAGGTGCTGGGAGAACTGCCTTGTTCTGTGATTGTTTACACATCTTAAACCCCAAACCCCTCCGTTTTCCTCTAAGCCTGCCATGTGAAATGATGAGAAATAAATTATTTACCACAAGAACACTGATACTACAGCACAGCTTGTATTGCTTTCTCAAAAAAAGAAATGTAATTGTGACTCTTCTGCCTTCAGAAAATGGATAAAGCAGAGAGTGCTCGTGCTGAGGGAGGAAAGAGAGTCCTGGGGAGGTGAGGATGGCCAGAAATTCTCCTGTCACCTGCAGGAATTTGGGGTTTTTGTGCCCCAAAGGCTGACACTGCTCACAGGTTCCAAGCCTTAGCTTTATACACAGTGATCTCTTTGTGCCACCTGAAATTCATTGTCATTTACAGTGCCAGCAGCATTGGAAAAACATCCTGCTCCTGGATTTCCTTAAAAAAAAAAAACACCTCATTTCCAAACCTGGCTTGTATTTGATTCTGACTTTATTATTGCTTAAAAGCCTGTAAAATTCCTAACTGAGCTCCTGTTTCTGCTCAAAGCCATTCTTAGGGAAGTTTTTAGTGTAAGAAGCCTGGCAAAAGGTGAAAAACCTTAAAAATATGAAATAATTTGGGAATTGAAGTGTGGAGGGGTTACATTTTATTGCATCTGCTTAGAACACTGTACTAAAAGTGTAAAACACAGGCTGAAAGTTTTCCAAATCCTAAGGGATTTTTTTTCCTCATGCAGCTGTATTAAATCAGAATTCCAAATATTTGTGATTTTGATAGGAAAACTGGGGGTTTCCTGAACTGAAAAGCCTAATAATAGTAATAATAACAACAATAATAATTATAATTATTGTAATAATTCATTGGGCAAAGGTGTTTGGAAGTTGCTGCTGGGTGGGGAGCAAAGTGGATTCCAAGATGAAATTCCCAGTCTTGATGTTATTTCTGAGGGGTTGAAATGCTGCAATGCTTCCTGTTCATCCTGGAACAAACAAATTCCCAATAAATCCTACAGGAGATGGAGGGGCAGCATTCCCTGTGGTCACTATAATAGGATATCTGGGATATTTCCCTAAATTTTGCCTCACGTTTAGGGATGATTGGTGTCAGAGCAGGCCAGAAAACGGAGAGGCTGCCTGTGTCCAGGCTTCCAAAAATGCAGGAATATGCTTGGAAAAAAAGTGCTTTACTCCCCTATTGCTCAGATAATTCCCAGAATTTGGGTTGGAAGGGACCTTAAAAACCACCTGATTGCAGCTTCCTTAGGACTGAGCAGAGCAGACACAGGAGCTGCCCGAATCCATGAAATCCACACATTTTTCCCCTCAAGAATTGCCCTCAAACCTGTTTTTGTGGTTCTGGAAAAACTCCAGCTGCACCCACTGGGTTTTGTTTTCCAGAGCACCCAGATTATCCTTCAGAGCTGGACACAGCTGATCCCTGGAATTTTAAGTTACCTCAGGAAAATCCGTATTTCTCCACCTGCTCCCCTAAGCCTTGTCCAAGTCAGCACTGGAAAAATAAAAGTCATGAAATTTCAGCTCGTTATGAACTGTCCAGAACTTTTTTTCTGGGAGTTTTGGAAAGGCCATTTATGAATATATCGGGCACAAAGGGCAGCAGCTCTGGGCTCTGCCCAGAGTGGCCAATTCCAGCAGAACATTCTCACTTGGAATTTTGTACAGAGGCCTAAAATCCTACTTTGGGAGATGAAAAGCTGGTGAGGTGTTTTATTTTTGTAGTATAATCACTGACTAAATGCTTCTCTGTGTAAAACAAGTATCAGCTACATTAGCAGTAATTCCATATTATTTAAAGCAGGGCTGTCCTGTATCCTGAGACGCAAAATTCCCTTTTTTTTTAGGCATTGGTGTTTCTGCAGCCAAGCTGACACAGCGCTTTCATTCTGCCTTCTGGATTCCCAAATCTTCACAATATTTTTCATTTCACCTCTGGAAATGCTTTAACCCTGCAACGACAGCAGCAGCAGCGGGAGTTTAAATCCTTTATCCGGGGGATGTGTGGGAATGTCAGGGCAGGCTCAGCCGGTAGAAGGAGCCACGGTGCCACCAAATCAGGTGTGCCCAGCTCCTGGGACAGGCTGGGACAGCCACATTCCTGCCAGGAATTCAGGGTGAGCTCCGTGGCAATCTGTGCTCCAGGCTGAGAGAGATGGAATATCCCACGGGAGCCACCTGGGAGCTGGGATATCCCTGGGAACAGCCAGAGCTGGCTCAGCTGAGTGGCTCCAGGTGCATTTTTGGCACCCTGGGCCATGGGGAAGATGCTTTCTGGCAGCGACTCCGCGGGTCAGCGCTGGGCACCGAGGCTCCGGATCATCAAACCACCAAACTTCCCGGGATGGCCGCAGCCCTTGTGCCACAGCCAGCGGGATATTCCTGGCTCCAGCACCTGGCAACCCTTCCCAGATGGAGGATGGAGCGTTAAGGCAGTGGGAGAACCCTGGGTTGGTCAGGTTGCATAAGCAGGATGTACAAGGAGTTCATCTCGCCAGCCTCCAGCTGCGTCACGACGGAGTTTGGCACGGATCAGCACGGCCGGGAAGTTGGAAATGCCTTGATTTGGAGGAAAAACTTCCAAACTTTCCAGCTGGGAGCACAGGTAGGCACTGCACGTGGATGTGGGAGACCACACAAAGCCTCTCACCTCCATCAGTCCTTCCTCTTCAAACCTGAAGCAGCTGAAGCTCCTTTTTTAAAGCAATCAAAGCAAAAATCCCCGGGGCTGAGCAGAGATCGTTGGCATGGATGGCTTTGGCCATGGATGGCCAGCGCTGCCAGGGAGGGGGCACAGGGGACTGGAGGTGCTGAACCGGTGCTTGCTGCAGCTGCAGCCACTTGGAGGTTGCCACAGGGCTGATTTGGAGCTGCCTGGAGGGGCTGCAGTGCCAGGGAACGATCCTGGAATGATGCAGGCAAACCTGCAAACCGGCACTGCCCTGCTGCGCCTGCCTGCATCCCGGAGCGTGGCTCACTTCCAGCGGCAGCTGCTCTCCCAGTGCTCCCTCCTGGCTGGGAATTCCTGCCAGCTCCTTTTCCTGGCTGTCCCAGGGCTGCAGGGGCAGCCAGCCAGCTGTGCTCCAGAGGTCATGGATCCCTCAGGAATGCTCACTGACCTTGGGATGCTCCGTGCAGCAAGGAGCTCCCAGGCCAGTGCTGTTGAGCTGTTTTTCTGGGAATGACTGTCATTCCAGCTTCTCCAGTGCCTGTGATGGGTTAGTGGGGATGTCTCTGGACACAAACATCCCTCTCCTTTAGAGCTGCTGGCTGGAATTCCCTTTTTTCCCCTTTTCCCAGGGCAGCTGTGCCCTCCAAAGGAAAGGCACAATGGGAACATCTCCAGTGAAGGAGACAGCAAAGGCAAACCCCACACACTGAGCTCTGCCTGCAGCTGCTCCACTGCTCCTGCTGTGCCATTCCCAGCCCAGGATCCAGCATTCCTATGGAATCATCACCCAAGGCTTGCATTTCCCAGCTCTCTGACCTCGGCTATCTCTCCACAGCAGAACAACTGCAGTGCTCTGCAATTATTCCCATAATTCAGATCCTCGGAGCACCCTGTGCAGGGGATTAAAAACATCAGGAACCTCCCATCCTCTGGGAAAGGAGCAGTGCAGGCTGCTGGACACTTCTCAGGGGCTCTCCTTGGAGGTCAGGGTGACACAGGGGTCCAGACACGTTTTGCACAGCACTGGAAATGCCACCAGAGCCAACTAAGGGCTGAGATTATCCCCAAACCAATTAAAGGAGGCGAATTTGCTGGGGGACAAAGCTGGAAAGACAAAGATGGGGATTCCTTCTCGAGCAGAAATTTGTGCTCTTTGATTTTTGCCTTGAGAGATCTCGACCCCCTCAGCACCTGCCCTGCCCAGCTCAGCCTCACCCCAAAGCCCTGCAGGACAGCACTGGGGGCAGGCAGCTGGGAAATGAGGAATATTGTACTTTCCCAAGGAACAGCTCATCCACCACATCCCAGACCCAAACACAGGCATCACCCTGGAGACTTGAGCAGATTGTCCAGGACCACGTTCTGGGGCAGATCCCGAGGACTTTTGTAAGGCAGGATAAGGAGAAAGGAGCCATCCAAAATCCTGCCTGCCCTGTCCCTCTGCCATGACACAGCTGGTACCAGAGGTGCAGCAAACCCAAACTGTCCTCATTCCCACGTAAAGCAGTCACAGATCCCAAAATACAATTAAATACTGAAAGTTAGATCTAAACATACTTTTAAAATCTAGATTTAACACAACCTTTCATCTCTACAGTGCATTGATGCTGCCTGGCGTTTGCATGTCATCCCAAAAGCCGCTTCCAGTGGGGTCTGCCCCGGGATGAACACCCCAAATCCACCTGCAGTGGTACAGGGAAGTCTTGCACAGGCTTTGACTCCAGCCGGGTAGCTCTGAGGAACTCCCTGCTTGGATGAGCTTCCCAACAGCCACTGAAGAAATTCATTCTCTCTCACATCACTTTCCAAGTCCATGCCATGGAAATAAGGTCAGGGTGATTCTCGGTGAAGGACAGACATTCTGCTATCCCAGTTGAGCTCTGCTCCCATCCAGGAGGTTCAGAACTCCCAGGATTTTGCTGAAGTTCACCATTAGTTGGTTTGGATACAATATGGCCTAGAAGAACTGGTTTAGAGTAATGCACAGCCTGAATAAAGGTGGTAATTCAGGAGCTCTACCTACTGACATGCTTGGCAGGGGTTTGTTTTGGGCAGGGGTTAAACAAAGCGAAAGCCAGCAGTGGCAGCAGGCTGAGAGGTGGCTCCTCTTCCTCCTTCACATCACAAACCCTCCTCCTACCCACCCTTATCCCTGCAGGTCACGGGGGACGTGAGAGCAGCTTCTGAGCAGTGACACCCAGGAGGGAAAAGCAGCAGCACTGCCCTGCCCCTGCCGTGTGCCTGCGGGAGGGGAGCGATCAAAACAAAAACCTACACAGGGCTGGTAAAGAAAAGTGAGAAATGGCAGGTTCCAGTGGGGGCCTGAGGAGCAGCGAGGGCACAGGAGGCAGGGACACGGTGACAAACCGGATTCTTGGATTTGTTGTATTGCTCCTTCTGCCAAGCCAGGAACGGAGCCCAGAGGGATCCGCTCCTCCCGGGAGAGCCCGGGCGGCGTTTCTAGAGCTTCCTACGGCGGAGAAAATGTTCTGAGTCCTGAGCGGGCCCGGGGGCTCCTTCACTGCTGCTCCTCTGCTTTGCTGCTATTCCTGAACTTCACCACCATCACGGTGATGTTGTCGGGGCAGCCTCTGTAGAAGGACTGCAGCACGATGCTCTTGGCCCCGAAGTGCGGCTCGTCCAGGCGCTCCTTGATGAACCGCACGGCCTCCTCGTTGCTGAAGGCGTCCCACAGCCCGTCCGAGGCCAGGATCATGAACTCTGGCTGCAGTTTGTCCAGGTCAAAGCTCAGGATGTCGGGGTCGGGGATCACCACGTTCAGGTTCTTCAGGGGGTAATCGCCCAGCGAGCGCGACATGGCCAGGATGCCCTGCACGCGCCACGAGCCATTGAAGCTGATGAACCCACCTGGGGAGAGACAGCAACACTCAGAGCAGCTCTTGGGGACATCCAAGCAGCTCTCTGCTTCCTGCCAGATCCCCAGAGGCTCATCCTGAGGGGTCACAGAGCTCACAGTGCAGGAGGTGCCTGTGGCAGATCTCGGAGCGCTGTGGGGAGGAGCTGGATGGCAATGACTGGATCAGGAATGGCTCTGCTCTCCCCAGGAATGGCTCTGCTCTCCCCAGGAATGGCTCTGCTCTCCCCAGGAATGGCTCTGCTCTCCCCCAGAGAAACCCCCAGCTTCTGGAACAGCACAGCAATTCCTGCTCCACACAATTCCTCAGGAATCCCCTTGGAATTTTGCAGCAGAGAAGAGTGAGGGCAAACCTTGACATCCCTGTGTTTGTGAGGACAGGTGATTTTGAGAGGAAGGGACAGTATTTACACTGATATCCTGAGGGCTTCAAAATGTTTTATCCTCATGGAAAAACTTGTGATTCCCATTTTGGAGGGGAGAGAGGTTCTGCACTGCTGGGACAATGCTCACTGGAGGTTTAACATCAACCACAGGAACTTCTTTTCTCCCCCAGAGAATTTGCTGCTGCTGTGGGAGCCAAACCAGGAACAGATTCCAAAAAGATTCTGACAAATCCAAGGAGAAGTGGCTGTTAAACCTGATGATCCCAGTGTAAATTCCAGCCCAGGAGGTGGCTAAAGTGACAAGTAATGAAAACAAGGAAGATTTACTGCGGGAAGGTTTCTTCCCCTCTACTCCTGCCACGATTTCCATGTTTGTGCTCGTTACATGGGAATAAAAACCAGCTTGGATGAAGTAGATTCACACTCTGCTGATTTTAGCCCTAAACCTCCCTCAGGCTCAGACCAGGCCTATCAAAGCCAGGCTTTGGGCAGGGCTGGGGCTGAAGCTCCTGGGATGCTCCTGGTTATCCACGTGGAGATGCCAAGGGATGGTCACTGGGCTGTTGGAGGCTTCTCTCCCTACCCCAACCAGCTGCTTAAGGGGTGGATCATCTACTGCCACCTCTGCCTGTGACATCCCACTGGAATTTTGGGTGGAAAATGGTGGATTTGATCTGCTGATGTCTCTGCCCTGTGACATCCCACTGGAATTTTGGGTGGAAAATGGTGGATTTGATCTGCTGATGTCTCTGCCCTGTGACATCCCACTGGAATTTTGGGTGGAAAATGGTGGATTTGATCTGCTGATGTCTCTGCCCTGAGACATTCCACTGGAATTTTGGGTGGAAAACAGGAGATCTCATCTGCTTGTGCCACCTCAGCTGGGCACTTCCCGCCCTCTCCTGGGGGAAATGTCGATTTTAGCAACAAATAAAAGATGAACCTTCCAACAACTCACCAGCTCTCTTGATCCTCTTCCTCTCCTTCAGCTGGTAGGGTTTGTGGTCGTGGGACAGGGGGATGGCGTTGCCGTCCTTGTCGCAGAGGACGCCGCGGGAGTCGCCCACGTTGGCCACGGTCAGCTCCTTGTCGGACAGGAGGGCGATCAGACACGTGGTGCCTGCAGGAACAGCAGGGGTGGGAGGCAAAAAACCCCACGGGGGGTGTAAAGAGATATTCCTGGTCTGCAGGAAAATGTCTTTCCTGGCACAGAATCCCAGGATTGTTGAGTTGGGAGTTGCCAGGATCACAGTGCCGGCTGTGACCCTCCGAGCACTGAGCCCGCGGTGGCTTTTCCTTCAGAGAGGCTGGAATTTCCCATTTCCCTTCCCTGTTTCTCCTCTCCACTTCCCATCTCCCTGTTCCTGCCCCTCTCACCCAAAACCAGCAGGACCCCAGCAAATATCAGCTAAAAAATCCCCATTCTGGGGCTGACCTGGCTCTGGATGCAATCCCTAAATACCAATATCTCTGTATCGATAGCTCCCAGGACTGCTTGACAGCAGGGAAGACACAGAAAAAGAAAGGGAAAAATGAATTCCATCTCTTTTTTTGTTGTTGTTGTTGTGCAATAATGAAATTCAATTTCTCCAGGACTCCTGGGGAAGAAAGGCCATCCATTAAGGGAAAAAAAACATTTCCCACAGGACAAAACCACTTCCAGAACCTCCCAGCAGTCTGGAATTCCCTGGGCCACTGGACTTAAATGCCAAAATGCCTTAAAATAACCAAAATTTGCCACAGATCAGGCACTGACCACCTCAGATGTAAATCAAGGGAATGGGATTAAGAGCCAGCAAAGCTTTGCTGGGAGAAAATATTCTTGCACAAAATTACCCCAGCCTTAGCTAGGCAAGAATGCCACTTTTTAAACTAAAGGATTTAGAGATTAGGAGAGGATTTGTCCCCATCTGTCACTTTTGGCCTCCTTTCATTTTTTAAAGCTTCCTTACTCAAACCTCACTAAAAATCTTGCCAGCATTTCCAGACAAACTCATTTTATTTGCAGCTCTGATGGATTGATTTCCTAAAGGGAAAGATTCCCAAAAAAGATTCACTTTGGGATGTGGAGTCCATCATTTATTAACACTGGATATTGCCAGAAAAGCCAAATTAACACCCCAAATTGTGCCAAACCCAGAGCACTCGAGCTTTGTTCTGGCAAATGGATGCAGCTGAACTCAACCCACTTTGGGAAACATCCCTGGGGAGAAAGGAGGTACTGGGGGTGCAAAATGGTCCTTCCAAGACGGATGGAGAAGGTTTCCTGGCTGGAAAAGGTGTGGAAGCACTTCCCTGTGCGCCACACCCTGCTAAAATCAGCGACTTGGATCCCTTCAAACATCTCCTTTTCCAGCTTCCCTGGCTGACACCTGCTGGAATCCCACCTCTCATCGTTCTTCCCAACATGAAACCCCTGGCAACGCTCCAGGGTGGCTTTGGGTGATCCCTCACATCATCCCCTGCCAGACAAAACTGCATTTTCTCCCCTTTCATCACCATCACTTCTATTTTTGCCTATTTTGGAGGATTGTTCCTTTTGTTTTTTTATGCCCCACCAGCAGCTCGAGTTCCTCATTGAGTTGATTTTGCTGTGGAAACAAAAGCCAAAAAAAAAAAAGGGAAAATGCCACCAGCAAGGGCTGGAGCAGCCAGGATCACCAGCAGCTGCTGTAATTATATTTAAGTGCCCATTTTCTGTGCTTTGCTCATAATCAGCTCTCACTTCAAGGGCAGGAAGAGCCATTTCTGCCTTCCTCATAAATAAGGGACACAATTAGGAGGGAGAGGGGGCTCCACTGCTGTGTTTCCATCTCTGGAGGTGCCTCCACCTGCTTGGGAAGCTGGAATTTTGGGGTTTCATTTACAGCTCTGCTGCTGGGAATTTTCTAAACCGGTTATTAAGGAGCTTCTCATTTCCACATGGTTTTTGTTGGATGAGATAAATCCCCAAATATGTGTTTCAAGCAGTTTTAATCTTTATTTTCACCGTACAAACACAGAGATTTCCATAAAGGAAAAAGCTTTCTTCTCTTTCTGACAGGAACCAGTAATTTCCCTGCATTTTATCCTCCCTTAAAAATTCCTGTAAATGAAAATAAGTGGAGAGGACCAAACTAAGGGGAAAAAAAAAATTACAGGATTGATCAGAGTGGGAAATTCTGTGTGAGAAAAGATCAACAGAAAGCAACAACTTTTGGAGCTCATTTTTTATGCATCATTAAAAGCAGACCACATGCGATGAAAAAAATATTCTGCAGCCTCATTTTACCTCTGCTGGCCTTTGAGAAGCCACAAGCCAAGCTCCTTGTGTGAGGTGTATTTTGGAAAAGGATCCAAAAGCTGGAAGGCATTTCTGACTGCTTGCAAACAAAAACGCTACAAAAAGCATCGGATCTGGAAACCCTGAGTTCAGGGTTAAAAAAGCCTCCAAAATCACCTGGGTTTGGCTGCCCACGGCCTCGTCTCACCCTGAAAATCGGGTTTTGTGCCTCTCAGCTGGGAAAACCCAAAATCAGTTGTTTGTGATGGAGAAAAGAGCAAAAACCAGGTGGCACAAGGGGAGATGGATGAGCATTGAATGGAGATCAATGATGGGCAGAGCATGGAGCGCTGGGAGGAGGAGGAGGAGGAGGAGGACAAGGAGGACAAGGAGGACAAGGAGGACAAGGAGGACAAGGAGGACAAGGAGGACAAGGAGGACAAGGAGGACAAGGAGGACAAGGAGGACAAGGAGGACAAGGAGGACAAGGAGGACAAGGAGGACAAGGAGGACAAGGACAACGACAACAAGAACAACGACAACAAGAACAACGACAACAAGAACAACGACAACAAGAACGACAACAAGAACAATGACAAGATGATCAAGAAGAAGAACAACAACAAGAACAAGAACAAGACGATCAAGAAGAACACGAAGAACAACAAGAAGAAGAAGCGTCCTCTCAGCTCCTTGCCATCCCATCACTCACAAGGAACACTCCCCACAGCAGCCTGACCGCAGGAGAACCAACATTCCACGAGGACAACAGTCCAGCCTGCAGGAGGAGTTTGGGGAAAGGCTGGAAACGAGGGAATTTTGTGTCGCACTGTGTTAGGAACAGCGAAGCGACGACACAGATTCTCAGCTGGGTTGCCAAAGAGAGCGTGTTTTATTCTTCCAGATCCTCTTTTACACACAGTTCTGTTGGCCACCAAACCAACACAGCACCATCACTGGAGAGTTGGGAACAACACCCCAAAATCCACAAATGGCACCAGGACAAACAGTTTGCCCTCCAAAGCAAGGAACTATTTAAGGAAAAAACACGCCAAGAGGAGTTTTCCTTTAATACCAAATTTTGGTGTGTTTAGCCAATTATTTCTATCTAAAAATCTCTTTTTTTTCCTCTGCGATAAATGATCAATATCCACAGGAAAGCCCAGCTCACAATTTAATGTTTCTTGCAAGTAAACAACAAGGAACAAACAACACCCACAAAGGTTGTTTTCCCTCTCCAAGGCCTGTTTGAGCTCCTCCTCACGATTTCTCAGGCCAGAGCGAGAACCTTGTGTGACTTCACAGATCTCCCTGCCCCATCTCGCGTCCAGCACCCCGTTTTGGGGCAGTAAAATGTGAATTCACAGCCCAGCCGTACCTGCCTCATCATAGGACACGGTCAGCTTCTCCAGCATCTCCCTGTCGATGGAGAGGATCTGCTGCTCCAGGATGCTCTGGTAGGACAGGACGCTGTTCTCCTTGTCCTTCTCGTAGTCCTGCAGGTGCTGCTTCAGCACTTCGGGCAGCCGCGACTTCACGTACTCTGCTGCTGACTGCGGAGCAAAGAGCACGGTAATTAGTGCTGGTGTTAATTGGAATGGCGCTATCGTGGGCCAAAGAGTGGGGTAATTAGTGCTGGTGTTAATTGGAATGGCGCTATCATGGGCCAAAGAGTGGGGTAATTAGTGCTGGTGTTAATTGGAATGGTGCTATCATGGGCCAAAGAGTGGGGTAATTAGTGCTGGTGTTGATTGGAATGGCGCTATCGTGGGCCAAAGAGTGGGGTAATTAGTGCTGGTGTTAATTGGAACTGGGCCATCATGGGGCAAAGAGATGGGGTAGTTAGTGCTGGTGTTAAGTGGAACTACGGCTATCACTGACCAAAGATCAGGGGTAATTAACGCCAGTGTTAATTGGAACTGGGGGTATCACAGACCAAAGATCAGGGGTCATTAGCACTGATATTAATTGGAATGGGGCTATAATGGGGCAAAGAGTGGGGTAATTAGTGTCGGTGTTAATTGGAACTGGGGCTATCACAGACCAAAGATCAGGGGTAATTAACGCCATTGTTAATTGGAATTGGGAGTAAATCCCACGGAGCGAAGCCCCCCGAGCTGAGGCCCAGCCCCCCCAGCAGGGAATGATGATGCTGATGGATTTGGAATTGGAATTTTGAAAATCCAACAATCCAATCCCTTTATTCTGAATTTTAGAGCACCATGTGGCAAAGCAAAATCACATTTAATGTCTTTGTTCTAAATTTCTGTTCTAAATTTTAAAGTAAAAATCAGCAATCACATTTAATGTCTTTATTCTAAATTCTAAAGCGCAAAGTGAAATCACATGTAACGTCTTCATTCTACATTTTTAGTCTGAATTTTAAAGCACCACGTGGCAAAATGAAATAAAATCTAATCCGTTTATGCTAAATTTTTATTCTAAATTTTAAAGCACAAAATTGGCAGAGCAGAACCAAATTTAATGTCATTATTCTAAATTTTTCTTATAAATTTTAAAGCACAAAGTGGCAGAGCAGAACCAAATTTAATGTGTTTGTTTGGGGTTTTTTTTTTGCATTTTGAAGCAGAATTTCCTTTTTATCACCTGCTCTTGATACGTGACCAGGCCATAAATATTTCCACACAAACACCCCAAAAATTCCTTTATTTCCTCGTTCTCGCTGGGCCCCGAGGAGAGGGAACGAACACAAGGGGGCAGGGCTGGAGCTGTGTGTAAAGCTGTAGTAACAGGTGAGTAACCACTGGGAGCATCCTGAGAGACCCAAACCCCTCCTGGATTCCTGATTTCCAGCGCCTGGAAATTCCCAAATCCCGATTTCCGCCTCCCCTGGCGCTCCCGCTGGACAGGGAACAGAAATTTCCCTTTTCCTGGCGCAGGTTTAATTCAGATTTTTCCCCTTTCCCTCTCCGAGCCAGCAGCTCCCTGCTCCGGTTTTCCTGCCACGCTCGGAGAAGAAATGATTATAAATTTGTTTTATTCCAGGCCTGGCAGTGACCAGAAGTCACCTCCCCTCCTCAGGGTTATTTTTAGTTTTCCAAAGTCAATCAGTGATTAAATTACAACCTTAAAATATCCCTGAGGTTGTGTTCCACGTTCCTGTGTGTGGGAATTACTCCTGGGAGTAAAACCAAGGGAATTACTCCTGGAAAACCAAAGGAACTGCCCGCATGAGCAGAGAATAATTTATTAATTATTAACTAATACTACATTTTAATTGCTTTTTCCACAGGAAGGCACGTTGTACACGGATTATTATTAAATTATTATTATATTAAATAAATAATAAATTTAATAATAATAAATATTATTATTAAACATCTCTCAATGGGAAGGTAAAAAACCATGGAATAACCAAGTTGTGGACAAGAAATGTATTCCAGAAAAGTCCATCAGTGAATTTTTGTGGTAATTCCCTAATTTCCTGCTCATTCCCAAAAAGGACAATGTGGAAATATCTAAGTATTGACATATCCAGAAATTAACATTCCTAGGTTAAAAAAAAAATATTTTTATTTTTATTTTTACTTTTATTTTTATTTTACTTTTATTTTTATTTTACTTTTATTTTTATTTTTACTTTTATATCTATTTTTACTTTTATTTTTATTTTTACTTTTATGTCTATTTTTACTTTCATTTTTATTTTTACTTTTATTTCTATTTTTATTTCTATTTTTACTTTAATTTTTATTTTTACTTTTATTTCTATTTCTACTTTTCTTTTTATTTTATTTTATTTTTACTTTCATTTTTTTCCTATATATTAATAAATAAATTAATATAGAATATTAGGAATAATGAGAGTAAAGGAACTATTCCTGCAGCAAAAAATCATCAGCACTTAAATTGCACCTACACTGAATCTTAATTAGTGAGCCAATCATTATCCATGCCTCTTTTAGGAGGAAAAAAATAAGATTAGTGAGGAAATTAAAGTGAAAATGAGGCTGAAAGCAGCTGTTGGATGAAATTCCTGTCAGTTCTGACAAACAGCTGGAGCTGGTTTAAAGGTGATGGATTCCATAATTCCTGGAAGATGCACAGAGCCAGAAGAGCAGCAATAATTCTGACAAACACCCACGTGGCCATTAGGAAAGGACGTTAATTTTCAACTAATATTTAAATTTACCAAAGGGCACGATTTAGTTAATGGCACAAAGCAAAACAGGAGTGATTGAAACGCTAAAAAAAAATAGGGATGTCAAGATTTCACCTGATTTTGATGTTAATTGGGTGGAACTATTAACAGAGATGAGCTGAATATGAAATGAAAATCTGTGAAATTAAAAAGGTTTCAAAATGCCTGAAAAGACTTGGCCATTACTGGGTAACAATGCAGAGAAATCCAGGTCCCAAATTACAATTTATTTCCTGAATGTGATGTGCAGGGAGCAGGGATTGCATTTGAAGGCCAGCCAGGATTAACTGAAACATTTCCTTATCTTGACTCTAAGCAAAAATAATCATTATTTTATATTTTTATATATTAAAAAAAGCATTATTTTATACATATATATAAATATATATAATATTTTTATATATATATTATTTATATATATTTATATATTTATATATTTATATATATTTATATTTATATATATATTTATATAAATAATATATATTTCTATTATTTATATACATATATATATTTATATATTTTATATATTTTATATATTTTATATATTTTATATTGGTATAAAGAGGCAGAAGCAAGAAGCAAGAAAAAGAGCAATAACCCTAAAAATAATAGTCAGAGTGTCAGAAACTCCCTAAATTTCCACAGGTGTTGAACTACTCATTTTCCAAGCTGTTTTATTTTATTTTTTTTAATACAGCAAAATGCTGCATTTTGGATTTTACTCAGCTCATCGAGCTCAACATTAAAGGTAGAGAAAATAAAAAAATAAAAAGAGGTTTGCAAAATAAATTGAAATGACATTTCTAACCCTGCATCAACGCAGCCCCTGAGCTGAAAGCTTTTATTAGGAATTAAAACGCCTTAAAACTACTCCAGGGGATTTCCACAGGTGTCTCTGTGCAGAAGCTTTTCCAAAGAACAGGGTTTTTTTTAAGTGAAAAACCAGTTTTACCAGAAACCTTTCATTCTGCTCCTGTAGTTGAGGGAAAAATGTATTTATAGCCTGTTAGAGTTAATTAAAGAGCAAGAAGCATTCATCTTTTTTTGCCATTGTTCTCTCCCTCCAAGCACTGAGGGAGAGGAGTGGAATATTTTAGCCTAAATGGTCTCTCCTGATTTAGAGACTTCACTTTGTGCCAAGCAGAAATCAAGAACTGGAAAGGTTCAGTCTGGGTGAGTTACACA